AGAGTAACACTATTCATGATCAGTTTGGAATAATAGTAACAATTCAAGTGAGAAAACTCTCTGGGTCTGTTTTTCTTGCAATGACGTACCTTTTATAATAGAAATTTTTAGGGATCAGATTGCATTTGTAGCATTTGTAGCATTTGTTTTCAATTGTTCATCCTAGTGATGTCAGGAAGCAGAAAATAGCCTAAGAGAATAGTAGTGTTAAGCAAACCATGAATGTAAACAGCATCTTGGTGTGGCCAGAGTTATAATACTACTGTACAAAATAAAAGGAAGAAAAGAAGAAAAGAAGAAAAGGTAACCCAACTAGAAACCTAGAAAATGTAGCCATATTTAAATATCCAAACACTTAGTAAGTCATTATTTAGGTTTGGAAACACATGCAAGAAAAGATAATATATTTTGTAGGTGATCATGATATGCCCACAGGGCCTTTTCTCACTGCTGAGTTGAAATGCAATCCACCCACTCTTGAGTCAACAGAAAAGTATACCAGCATGACATTCACTATTCTCATTGCTGATCTCTGTCCTGCCTCCATTGCCTTTATTTTCAATCACTGTCAGTCCCCTGACCAACCTTTACATTAACAAGTGACAAACTTTGTCCTATGATTAGGTACAAGTATGTATGTATGTGTGTATGTGTGTATGTGTGTATGTGTGTATGTATGTATTTGAATTTATTAGGAAAGTAGGAAAAGACTCAAACAGATGAAATATTAAAAGATAAAATATTATATGACATCAAATCAGATGGTACCAAAGGATCTACATAAATGCTAATTTTGTCTTTATTACTTTTTGGATAGTATTTAATATAGGCCATAATATTATCCCTTTTAATAGCCTGTTTCATATTTGTAAATGAGAACAGCTTATAATGATGTTAGATTTTCTATGACTAACCAAATGAAATAAAGCTCAACAGCTGCATTAGGTGACTCACCAAAGTGAAATGTAGTCCAGCAACCACATTTGGGACCCCATGAAGTGATGGCCACTGTTGGCACTTGGTTGGTTATAATGCATATCTAGTAAGCTAAATTTGCTGTAGCATGTAAGCTGAAATATGGCCATTCTCATGATTAAATTCTCAAATAAAAATTCTTCAAACAGTAGAAAGCTAGCCACTTCCTTAACATACCAAATTCTTTAAAGGATCACAGTAATTCACATTATATGATGCATTAGAGCTGACTATCCTGTATGGTCTATGTATGTGTGTGTAATTATATTCCATTTTATGTTTCATTTATACATGCCTTTCAGTTTCAGTTAATGGCAGCTGACCATGTTCTTCAGTTTAGCTTTTGTCTCCTGGTTCCATTGTTGTCTAAAATAACATTAAGGGATAAAAACATGATTTCTCAATAGTCTTTTATTATAAGATTCTCATTTAGTGTGGATTCTCTTTAATAGCCAGCTTTGCTGAAACAGGTTTTTCAAGTTCTTGTTTTAAGTTCCTGAAAAATTGCAATTCATATGATTGTGCTAAAAATGTATAATATATTAACAATGAAGGACAATGTTGATAGAATAGGATATCCCAACAGCAGTACAAATGCTGAATCCGAATGCAGTGCATATTTATCTAAATTTTATCATGCAGTCTTATTTCAACAAAGGCATACATCAGATAAAGTTTTCTATAAATGCAAGGAGTCCTCTCAGAGTATTATAATGGTATGTGGGAATGACCTTGGGAGGCAGGTGAAGAGCTGCAGACAGGGAATGGTCAGATAAGAGGCAGCTGAGCCTGCAGCAGGAATATGGGCATGGCAAACGTCTCAGAAGGGACCCTCCCTAGTTTCTTGGGCTGTAAAGGTGACAGGGGAGAAATGTACTTTCAGACTTGCAAGGATCTGTTAATGTAACCTTACAATAAAGTAGAATTAGCTCATCTGGTCATGTTTCCTCTCTGACATCAATATCAAAGCTCCTCCCCTTTTCTGCATCCATTGATGCATGTAAAAAGGGGTGGGGCTTTAATCATATGATTGCAGCCTCCATCTTGACTTTTATCCCCACTAAAGTGCCCCAAGCACTTCCTTGTCTTTACCCCAAAATAAAGAAAAGCTTCTTGTTCTGGTGGCAAATTGTAAAGAGATATTTGACAAGATTTGATGTGTTGGTTTGAGTTGGTATCATCCGAGTTAGTGTTATAGGCCTGTGGCTGTGCCTAAAACTAATTTCCTTCCACTGAATTTCTTTTCACTGAAGGAAATTAACTCATAAATATCTTGGCATTTCAGGCTGCTCACACTATTGCTACATTTCCACAGAAGTGTTAATCATAGAAGTGCAAGGGCAAAAATAGGGCTGGCTTTCATCACTGACAGGCGCATATCCAATATCACAAACAAATGTTCAGGAAATCTATCTGGTCTATTCACATTTATTCTGAATCACAGTGGTTGAGGTTTGACTATTTTTATATGGGACATTGTTCCAATTCTTGGATCAACCAAAATGACCTATTCACTCTATTAGTAATACATATATCAGTCATGTGTTTATTATTCATGGGGTTTTTTTTAATTTGATACTATAATGCCAAAGTGATGAGAACATTTTAATATGCTTTCTCTCCATTCATTTATCAGTAAATAACAAGTAAAAGTATGATTATATTGAAAACACATTTCCAGGCTTACGTGGTGTTAAAATAATTATTTATTCCTCTGTGTGTCTCCCATCTCTAAAAAAGTTGCTGTTGATTAGATCTTTGGGCAAATTTGAATCTGTGTTATTACTCAAGTGTATACGAATGCCATTCAGTCTATGGCTTATGAGCTTTAATTCAATCACCTCCCTTAGCCAACATTTTGTATCAGACTAATGTATCAGAAGCTAAAAAAAGAACAATCCTATGAGCCTGAAGTCTGTCTGCCTCTGATGTAGAAGATCAAGCCCTAAGCAGAATTATAAATATGTTGGTTGCAAGACTGGCAACCAGATATAGGTAGGGGAGAACTTTTCATAATATAAGAGTATTAGTGGAGTTCGGTGATAGTGAGGGCAGAACTGGGCTGAGTCTGAATTAGCCAACACAGTACAAATGTTACAAGAACATTGGCCTATGAACCCAGTTGACATGGTCACTTACTCACTAGGTACTATGCCTGAATGCTACAACTTTATCCTTGCTATCACCAATTGATATTCTTCAAACTGGTCCTTTTTCTGTTTTGCCTGGTTCCTCCTCACCCTCTCAGGTCCCTCATACCACATAAGTTATTCTCCTTCCTCTATATTATGCCCAAGTTTTGTTGGTTCACAGGGTTAGATTCTGTAGCTTTTAACCAGTTTTGAGTAGTTTTAGGTTAACATCAAAATTGGCAACCGTTGTATTATGGGAATGTCCTGTTAACAACAACCACCCTTTTGAAATGGGAACACATTCCTTTGCACATTAATTTCAATAAAACAATTTCTATTTAATACATATAATACCATAACTTTTGGCCTACATCATGTTATTTCATGTTTAATTATGGATAATCTTTAGGCATAGAACTGTTTTTTAAAAAGTCAAGGTTGTTAATAGCGCTGTTCAAAAGTTCTATAATGTCTTTTAATTAATTAAAAGTCTAACACTCATAACTGAAAGCACTACTTTTCATTTCTAAAGAATAAAGGGGTAGGAAAATAAGAGAATTTCATATAGACTCAGATATAATAATTCTGAATTCATAATTTTAAAAAATAGATATTATATTAAAAAGTTAAAAAAGAAATGGCAGCCTGATTTTTAAAGAATGTATTGTATTTGTATACAGAGTGTATGATAAACATGTTGTAAAATGACACAAAACACATACAGTGTATGCATTTATTTGTCTTTTTACACCATGTTTAATGGATGTATTTAAATTCATTTGGAGAAGGTCTATCTATGTGGTCATCAAGAGTCAGCACTGAATTAATGCCACATAATCAGCCAATACATGTATTTAAATGGAAGTTATGGTCACCTAGCTACCTATTACCTCATTTCTGTACAGTATACATTTTTCAGGTTTTCTTCTTTCAGTTAAACCAGAGTGAACTAGCAGTACTTTTGGTTTAGGGAAATTGTGTATGCTCAGGAGATGTTATCATTTGATGTTTTATGAAGAGCTGATTATTTTTAAGTAAGCATAACAGTTTGTAAGGAGATTTCTTGCTGCTTTGGTTGGTCTCATTAAGACTCTGTGTGAATATTATTGTGCCATGATGCACAGCCTGGTTGTCCTGCTCTATTAGGTTTTAGGTTCTGATTGTCTGTGGGCTCAAACATAGCCCTTTTTAGACATTTACCTACAAAAGAAGGTTGAAAATCACTGGCTAACACAACCCCACTTCCTGCTCTTCCTAGCTTCCATGTATTCAGCTTGGAACTTGGAACAGGAATTATATTCTTATTCCGTTATATTACAGTAGCACTACTTTTGGACCAATCTGGGATTTTCAAAGATTCTACATGGTTACATGGTTCAATTTTGTCCTACCAACAATGTCACATGTCTAACTGCCTTTATGCCTATAATCAGATTGCTGCCAAATTATGTTACTCTTCTGTTCGTATGCTGCAAAATAAAACAAAACAAAAAGACTTTTGTTTCTGCTTCTGAATCATGATTTATTGATTCACCTTGGCTGAATAGCACTCTCTTCTCTGTTTTCTGTTTTATACTTAATATTTTATACTGCCCTTCATCTTCTTATCTTAAGGCAGGTTATAAAAACAGTCTGAATAAAATATATTAAAATATAAAATTAAAAATTAGAATTTATATAGAATAGGTAGATACACCCATTGTAAATTCATCAGCAAATGAAACTCTTTTGAAGTTGTGCTGAAAAGAGTATAATATCTGTGCCAATTGTAACTTACAGGGACAATATGTTACAATCAGGGCACCACCAATCTGTTGATTTGAATTAATATTACTAGGATACATTCGAGATATCTTTGTTGAAATATAAAGATGGATCCATTTCTTATCTCATTCCATTCCATCAACATCTGGTGAGATGCCCTCTGGAAAACACCATGATTTTCAGGCATCTGTGATGTGGCAGCAGGGATGTCCCTGGGAGAATTAAAATCCACAAGCTGGCAGGCGTGGCATCACAAATCTCATCTTGCAGGTTTTGAATCCCCACTACAGCTCATGAATGTTCCTGTGTGGCAGCCTGAGAGAAGGTGTGAAAATCCTTGTTTAGTTACTGTTGTGATGAAGTCTGATAGAATTTGGTGCCAGCTGAACACCTGTTAACTCAATCTTTTAACTGAAGCTGTGCTTCTACTTGGATTGCTTTTGGAATAGTTGTCTTTAACGTGTCATTTTTAAATATTCTGTTATGTTTTGTTGTGATACAAGGGGATTAAGATGATATACTTTATTTGGTTCTTAATCTTATTGAGTTTCCCATTGCAGATCTTTATTTGTAATAAAAAAAAAGCTGGTAACAAACTTTATAAAGAAGTACATAAATAATCATCAAATAAATAAGTAAATATTGTAAAATGATATATTGAAGATACTTAGAGAAAAACCAGATATTGGGAGAGGCACTCTTTCAGACAAGAACATAGAAATGTAAGGGGTTGGGGAAGATTTCTGCTGGATCGGGCCAAAGACCCATCAAGTTCAATATTCTGTATCACATAGTAGCCAACCAGATGTACTGAGAAAGTTCAGAAGCAGGACATTAGCCCTGTCCCATTTTTGTACTTAAAATATGTTCACCTTTGATACTAGAGGAAACCTACAGCTACCATTAATAGTCCATTCCCTGAATTTGTGGCTCTTACAGCATCCAGGGTAGGGAATTCTATGGCACATATGCCATGTATTCAGAAAAACATTTTGCGAAGTGGGGCAGTGCCCCTCTGAACTTCTATTTCTCTTCAAAAGCAATCCCAGTTAAAGTCCTTTCCTTACATGCCCATTACGCTTAGAAGACCAAGAAAAGTCTTCAGTGCAGCCATGCTGAGCACTTCAAAATATATGGTCATCTCAAAACAGTCAGTTCATAAGATTGCTTTTCAAAACACTCTTCCAAATGCTAGTGAATTCCATAAAATAGCTAGCTAGACACTGTGCAAGTAAATAATTTATTTCATAAATCTTCCTTCATTTAGCTTGAGATCTTTGTACATTTAGCTTTGCTTCTCTGAATTACAGAATTAATCCATTTAAGATAAAATATTTGGGTCTAAAGCAGGAAATAAAATGAATTCCATCACCAACCTTGCTGGAGTGAATTTGGAGCAGATCCCATTGCAAGAGATGGGAAACAGATCCAAACTGTAGTATAAGTCCTAAAATAAACATTTAATATTAAAAAAGCAAAGTTCCTTCCCAATTTTATCCACAAATGTATGATATGGCAATACTTATTTTGAGACCCCTAAGATGTCAAAATGACTATGAATTGACATCTTAGGCATCAGCAAATTGAGATGGACTGGGATGGGATCTTCTTTCAGCCAGAAGATCATACAACTTATTACTCAGAACATGAAAAATCAAGAAGAAGCATTGTTGCTTTTATAGTTAGGAAGGAAGGACTTGGCTACAATGCGATCAATGAGTCTCCTCTTATTTATTCAACCTATATGCTGAATATATATTAAGGAAAGCTGGATTGGAAGAAAATGAGCAAAGTTTTAAAATTAAAGGAAGAAACGTCAATATGCACTATGCTGATGACACAACCCAAATAGCTGAAAATGCAAAGGATCCACAACCCCTAGTTCTAAAAGTCAAAGTGCACAGTGGAAAAATGGGACTAAAATTAGATTAAAAAAAAAAGAAGACCAAACTAATGACAACACGTAGAATAACCAGCCTTAGAATTGACAGTGAAGATATCCAAGTGGTGGATAGCTTCTGCCTTTTAGGATCAACCATTAACATTAAAGGGACAGCAGTCAAGAAAGTGCAGAGTAGCACTTGGTAGAGCAGCCATGAAGGTCTTGGAAAAGATATTCAAGTACCAACAAAGATCAGAACTGGGGAAGCCATAGTATTCCCTATGACACTTTATGGAAGTGAAAGTTGTACTTTAAAAAAGCAGGATAGGAAGAGTATTGGCATCCTTGAACTTTGGTGTTGGAGAAGACTCCTGAGAATACTATGGACAGCCAAAAGAACAAACCAATGGATCATTGAACAAATCAACCCAGAATTTTCACTCAAGGCACAAATGACCAGGCTTAAATTATCCTATTTTAGACACATTATGTGAAGACCCAGCTCTCTGGAAAAGGCTGTAATGCTTGGAAAAGTGGAAGGAAAGAGAAGAGGATGACCAGCAGCAAGGCAGATGGACTCAGTTACGGTGTCAATGAGTACACCATTGGGAGACCTGAAAGGACAGGTTAGGAATAGATCGTCATGGACAAAATCTATCTTTGTGGTCGCTAGGAGTCCAAAATGACTGGATGGCACATAATCAACCCCTGGCCATTAAATACAATTCATAGTCATCAAATGATTAGCCCTTTGCTTCAGTCTGATTTTCTAATGGGAAATCCCTAATCCCAAACCACTGAAAGTATCTACCAGCAACTTCAATTCTATTTCAGAAGCAGTGTATGTAAGACTCTGGGTATACTGGTTACAATCCTAAGAGACAATTTATGCACTAATTAAGCCTGATGAGCCTTCTTCAAGGGGTATAGCATATAGTGCATATGATTAACAGGATTACAATGGAGAGATTATCAGAAAAGTAATATCACCAACTAAATATGGACATAGTAGGAGAAGAGCCATGTTAATCTATGTAGCCAAAAAGCAGAAGGAGTGGTAGGAGTCTCTTAAAAGGCATAAAGTTTTGTGATGTATCTGATGAAGTGAGTTGTCACTCATGAAACCTCATTCTTTTAAATAAAATTTGTTAGTCTGAAATGGTGCTAGCAGACTCCTGATTCTCATCTAACTGTAGGAATTGCTTTAAGTGATGATCTAAGGAAAGTTGGTGAGAGGAATTCTTAGGCTGGGATTAAATTAAGAAACATCTCCAGGCTATGTAGCTGCATCCACTCATCTAAACTGTCTGCCCATCTAAATATTTTTCAGGGGATGCAAGGTACTTTATTAATATTTTTCATGTATAATTATTTTGTGAAATTAAGAAGAAGAATTACAAATGAAGTGGGTCCTTATTCTTGTCTTAATTACTTGTCGTCAGAAAAGATTTTGTAGTTAAAATTATATTTTTGTTAGGAAAATTACTGTAACTTCCAGTTTAGTTTGCACTTAACACACTCCCAATCTTATATCCAAATCAGAGCAAGTAAACATGCCACTCAGTTCTGCTAGATATAAAGATATCACAGATAGATAGATAGATAGATAGATAGATAGATAGATAGATAGATAGATAGATAGATAATCTTGTTGTTTATTAAACATCCACAAGTATCAAATCAATTAATTGGCAAAATAGGACAAAACAATGACAACAACAACAGCAGGCAAAAGCGGGGACAGAGAGTCATGGACAACAAGGAAAAGTTAAAAGTGAGGAGCGAGAGTTTGGCCATTTTTGTACTTTTCAGCCATTTTAATATTTTGAATGACCTTCTCCATCCCTTTTGAGAAAAGCATGCCCAGTATCAGACATGGGAAGGCATGTAACAAACCACTACTAAACTAAAGTGGTGAACTGGAGTCATAATGCTGTCATGTTGCTCTGGCATCTAAGGGACCAGCTCTGGGTGCTACAGGAAAAGCTGGTACAGGGGGGTGAAAGATTAAGACCTGACTAATTTAAGTTTGCTTTTTCCTGCTTAAGTGATATGTTCCAGATCTGAGCAATCCTTGTTTTACTGATAAGAAATGTTTGTTAGGGAGGCATTTGCTTGTCTTGATAACCTCAGACCACATGATGCTTGCTTGGGACCATGTGTATAAAAACTGCAGGAACCTTTTGTTCGAAGTCAAATGACCTCCAGGTGACCTATTCTGTGCAGAATAAAGTTATTCTTATCTCCATCCTTGGTGTGTCTCATTGGGCTACCATGGCAGGCACAAACCCAGAGCTCCTGGGACAATAAAAGGGCAGGGGACTTAAGAATAACAGCCTACATTATCTATACAGTATATCAAAACTTTCCAGAGACACTGAAAATAAATCTATGGGTAATTAGCAAGAGGATTATATAATCAATATTAGGAACATAAATATACTCTTGTATGAATTAATTTTAAAAGAAGTCTTGAGAACATAATTTGAGCTTTGCTTTATTGGACATGGATTAGGGTGGTAAATGCAGAAAGTGCAACACCTATAGCATCTAGCCAACTCTACACTTAGAGTAAGTACTAGGAAGAGAAGCATAAAATGTTCTTACAAGATGCCAAAAAAACCTCTACCATTTAAAGAAAATATGTTATTACCACAGACCAGGCATGTGTTTCTGGATGACTTAATGGGGAGCTCTAATAGTACATAACTACCTGGCAACTTCATACAGCTGTTTAAGCCCCAGGACTGTGGGCAGACCTCAGCTGCATGAATATCTACCTGGGATTGTTCTCCTAGGCAGCTGCAAGACACCACCTAACACTTCTCATAATGCCACTGACTATAGTAAAGCTTGGATTATTGTGGGAAATTTAAAATGATGGGTCATTGCCTCTTTGGAAAGCCAGTGATTACAGAAAGGCTTCGTTTCTACACTATTTGATAAAAAATACACTATTTGTCAAAGAGTAAAGTATGTATTACTATCTCACAAGTTAATCTGGAATGGATTTCCAGTCCTAAACACTCCAGAATACACTAAATCAGGGGTCCTCAAACTTTTTAAACAGGGGGCCAGTTCACAGTCCCTCAGAATGTTGGGGGGGGCAGACTATCTATCTATCTATCTATCTATCTATCTATCTATCTATCTATCTATCTATCTATCTATTATTAAGCTTGTATGCTACCTCTCTCCCCCAACGGATGACTCTGGACGGCTCACAATAATAGTTTGAAAAAAACATGAATGAATCCTTATGCACACTGCACATATTTTATTTGTAGTACAAAAAAAAAAAACAGGAAAAAAACAAT